CCCCAGCCAGTCCCCCTCCTCTTCTGGCCCTAAGCCCTCTGCTTCAGGCCACACTCCGGCCACAGGCCTGGTCCCCACCAAGGCCACAGCCCTGAATTTCCACCGCATGCGCAGGATCATTGCGGAGGACACTGAGTGGTCGCTGGCCATTGTGCCCCTGCTCACGGAACTCTGCATCCAGAACATCATCAGGAACTTCCAGGGTGAGTCTACAGGGCAGGGGGCAGGGCGGGACCCAGCCAAGAAGTAGGGCCACCTGTCTCCTGACTCCTAGGGCTCAGGCCTCCTGGCAGCATCCTGTACACAGGAGGTGTCAGACAGATACACTTTTTGTGTTTGTTCTTGTTTTTGAGACAGAGTCTTAGTCTGTAGTTCAGGCTGGCCTCAAACTCACAGCAATCCTCCTGCCTCAGCCTCCTGAATACTGAGTTTACAAGTGTGTACCACCACACCTGGTCTCCAGATGCACTTGTTTGTTTTTTGTTTTGATTTGTTTTTTTATACCAGGGTTCAAACTGGGGACCTTGAGCATGAGAGACCAGCAGCGGAACCACTGAGCTAAATCCACTGCCCACAGATGGACTTGTTTGAAATGAATGAATCACATCAGACTGGGAGGCTCAGGAGTCAGGGTCTATCTCCCCCATCAGAGGAGGTGGCAACTATGAGCCTCCAGGGACTGAGGCTGCCCAGACCAGACACTGCCAGTCCAGTGCCACGTTGTTCCCAGAGCTGTGACCCTTTTTTTTTTCTCTCCTCTGCTCCCAAAGAAAACCCTGTCCTGAAGCAGCTGCCCCCAGAATACCAGGAGAAGGTCCTGAGCCACCTGCCCCCTGACCTGCCACTGGCCGTGACCGCCAACCTCATCGAGGACGAGGGCTACTGGCGTCGCTGCTGCGTGCAGCGCTGGCCCGTGTGCCACGTGGCCCGGCACGGAGGCAGCTGGAAGCGCCTCTTCTTCGAGCGACACCTGGAAGGTCTGCTGCGCCGCTTCATCCCCGGCACCACGGACCCCTGCACCGTCCTCGACCTGCTGCCCCTTTGCAGGGACTTCGTGCGCAGCCTCCGCGTGGACCAGCTCCTCCCGCCCGTGCGCCTGCCGCCCGCGCCCCGCACAACGGGAGACCAGTTGGACTCGGGCAGCGAGGGGGACGCCGAGGAATCCAGGGCCTACCACTACCCGCTGGGCCCTCTGGTGGCCGGCCTGAGCCAGCTGGAGGAGCTGGACTTGGTGTATGGCGTCAAGGACTGCGGTATGAACTTCGAGTGGAACCTCTTCCTCTTCACCTACCACGACTGCCACTCCCTGGCTGCCACCGTGAAGGCCTGCCACACGCTCAAGGTACCCTCTCGGCACCCCGCCCCAGCTCCCCTGTCCCCTCTCTGCCTGCCCTCTTGCCACTGCCTTCCTCCTGTTTTCTTTCCGTTCATTGAGGGAGCTGGTTCTGGTCTGGGGTTTTGTTGCTGGGGACCAAACCCCAGACAGCTTAGTCATCAACGAACACCTGCACTCCGGGCCCCGTCCCCAGTGCTGGAGATGCAGCCAGGAGCTGAGGGTCACCCCACGCCTGGCCTCTGCAGCCGACAGTGGCCCTGACTGAAAGGGGCCTGGAGCTGGGCGGTGGGGCTCGATCCCGTGCAGAGTGGGCGACTGAAACACAGGGCGCCCAGTTAACTTTGTGTTTCAGATAAGCTGCAAGTGATTTCGTAAAAGTATGTCCCAGATATCACACGGGACACGTCTGCCAGAGATTTTAAATTTAAGCGGGTCTCTCCTTGTAGAGTAGAGTTTGTTTTTCATTGCTGAGCCACGCTCCCATCTGGGCATTCTCTGTTGTTTCTTGCACCCCTAACTGGGATGAGTGCTTTAAAAAAAATACGTATGTTGGGTGGTGTTGCCACCTGCCTCACAAGCACAAGGACGGGAGTTCTATCCCCAGTACCAAAAAAAGAAAGACTGCGTGTGTGCATCCAGGGGTACTCTATCCCTGAGCTACATTCCCAGCCCTTTCTTCTTTTGTGTTTTTAAGATGAGTCTCATTAAAGTCACTGTTTTGCCCAGGCGGGGCTTGAACTTCAGATCCTCCTGCTGCAGCTTCCCTAGATAATACTTACAGGTGTGCATTACTAAGAAAAGACATTCTTATATGCAATTATAAAAGGCACATTTGACGCTGCCAGAGAAGGCTTCCTGGGACAAGTGTCACTGTGTAGAGGTCAGGGGGAGAAGGAGTTGTAGATACGGAGAAAGACCTCCCAATGGGGGCAGCACATCCGGGCCCCTGGGCAGAGCAACATGGCTGCTCCAGGACGTGTGGGTGGAGCCAGGAGTGGGGGACCCGGATGGATGGCTGGGCTCTTGGGGAGAAAGGAGGTGTTGTCAAGGGGCTGGCTTTATCTCGCAGAGCTCCAGGCACCATCTGAATTCTTCTGCTTGCCATTGCTGTCACAAAGTATCCAAAGCCAGGCACTTCAAACAAAAGAGGGGTGTTTGGCTCACAACACCAGAGGCTGGAGGTTGGTACAGCTCAGTACCCGTCCTATTTTTCCTCCTCAACATGCCAGAGAAACAGGAAGGGAAATGGACGTGTGTGGAAAAGACCAAGCACACAGTGGTATGGCCTCACTGCCTTATGGGAACCAAGTGAGGTCCTGAAAGAGCCACATTAATCTCTTCAAAGAGCACACCTAGTGACCTGACCAGGGACCACACACTCCACCTCTTAAAGGCTCCATACCTCTCTCCGTCACATTCATCAGGACAGAAACCTGTAGGGACACCAGTGCGTCCAAGCCACAGCACTGTGCAAGGTCTTGGGCGACAGGGATATTACGTTGTTGGGTTGCAGACATAGGGAGTCACCTAGGAGTCCCCTGCCAAATGCAGATAAAAACAAGGGCTGCTTGCACCTTGGCTCTGCCTGCAGAGAGGTGAGGAGAGGGAGAATGGAGGAGAGAAATTTGAACTATTGCATTAGCAGCCTTGCTGGCATAAAGGAGGATGTGGAAGAGAAGGAAGGTTGCATTGACATCAGGCATTCCTTCCCGGGAGATCAGATGGTTGGAGGGGCCACTGACAAGATGGGGATGATGGGAAGAGGACTGGGTTCCCACTTGAGGTGGCCAGGAGCAGCATCCTCCCATCAGAGAGGGTCTGCAGCTCTCAGGAGAGATCTGAAGGAAGTCTGGAAATGGGTGCCAGCTTCTCCAGTGTGGGCTCAGCATGATATTCCCAAGGGAGCCAGAAGAGGGGCAGGAGACACTGGCAGGTGGCTCTGGAGGAAAAAGAGCCTGCCAGAAACGTGAGGCAGGAGGGAAAAGACCTGGCACTGTGTGCCCGAGTCCCGGAGAGCACGTGCCACTAGCAGGAGTGAGGGGTGGAGTGCTTGGCACCACAGACCAACTTAGCGAGTGGGGAGATTGCTGGAGGAACTGCAGTGGGGTGTCAGGGCCGGGGGCCAGGAGCCGCAGAAGCGAGGAGGGGGCGCTGTGATCCACTTTGCCAAGAGCTTGACTGTGAAGGCGGAGAGCAGAGAAGGGACAGATGAAGGCTTTGGATTTGCCTAAGAAGGAATTGGCAAGTCAGGCATAGGGGCCCTCACTGGCAGTCCCAGCACTTCGAAGGCTGAGGCAGGAGGATCCCAAGTTCCAGCCTACCCTGGCAATGTAGTGACTTTGTCTAAAAAAAGAAAAAAAATTGTGTTTAAATTTAAAAAGGCTGGGGATGTAGCTCAGTGCAAAGGGCCTGTGTTCAATCTTCAGTCTCACCAGAGACAGAGACAGCAAGGGAGAGAGACAGAGAGAGACAGACAGAGACATCTCATCAACCAACTGAGGGCAGAGGGAGCAGTGGCAGAGAGGGGCTGGGGCATCAGCCAGGCCTGAATTCCAAACCCATAACTCTGGACCAGTAATGGGACTGCCCTAAGCCTTCTCTCTCTCTCCCCAAAATGGAGAGAGAACTTGCCCGACTCCAGCAGAGGCTGTCAGCATGCCCACACCTAGTAATCACTCAATCAACAGTGGCCTCTTCCCCAGACACCAGTTTGGTGTCACCGGGTGCTGCTGCCCCACCTGCGAAAGGTGTGCTGGCAGCAGGCTGGTCACCTCCGCCCACCCCCACAGATCTTCAGGCTGACCCGCAGCCGCGTGGATGACGAGAAGGCCCGCATTCTGATCCGCAGCCTGCTGGACCACCCAGCCCTGGAGGAGCTGGACCTGTCACACAACCTCATCAAGGACCGCGGGGCCCGCGGGGCCGCCAAGCTGCTCAGCCACAGCCGCCTGCGTGTGCTGAACCTGGCCAACAACCAAGTACGTGCACCCGGGGCCCAGGCACTGGCTCACGCCCTGGCACACAACACCAACCTTCGCTCCCTCAACCTGCGCCTCAACTGCATCCAGGACGAGGGCGGCCAGGCCCTGGCTCACTCCCTGCTGACCAACACATGCCTCACCACCCTGCACCTGGGCGGCAATGAGCTGTCTGAGCCCACGGCCACGCTGCTGTCCCAGGCCCTCGCCGTGAACACCACGCTCACCAGCATCAACCTGTCCTGCAACCGCATCGGGCCGGTGAGCCAGGCCTCCGGGTGGGCAGGCAGCCGGGCGGGTGGGGCCTCCAGCAGGAGGAGCACTAGGACCTTGGGTTTCCGGGGCTACATGCAGTGTCGCTGGGCTGAGGGTGAAGGGTGTACCCTACATCTGCTCCTTTCCCTTTGGGCTCACAGTTATTTAATAAATAGGAGGTTTTTTTTGTTTTGTTTTGTTTTGTTTTTTTGTGGTGCTGGCCATTGAACCCAGGGCCTCGTGCATGCTGGGCATGTGGTTTACCACTGCGCCCCCTCCCCAGCTGAGCCTGAGTCTTTTCTAGACAAGCGCTCCCCACCAAGTCATGCCCCAGCCTGAGTCCTCTGTGACACTCAGTGTTCCTCAAACTTTCTTCACCAAGTCAGGGAAGAAGAAACGTAAGGTACACCAGGCCGGGTAGCACCCATCTGTAATCCAGCACCCTGGGAAGTGATGGCAGGAGAAAGGCAAGTTAGAGCCCAGCCTGGACAGCTTAGTGACTTAGCAAGACTCTGTCACAAAACTTTTTAAAAAATATTTTAAAAGGGGCTCAGGCTGTTAATTCCCATTTCTGTGGGGTTGGGGAGGAAGCAAGTTACATGAACGCGCAAACACACACACACATATATAGTCCCTGAAATCCTTCACTGCCTGTGATTTATGCTAATGTTTTCCTTTAGATTTTACTCTATTCATTTTTTAAGATGCTCCTGTGGCCTTTACATTTGCTTCCCACCACACCAGTGGGATTCGTCCATAGAAAAGCAGCATTCTTCCTCCTTTGTGGAAGTCTTCACACTGACCTGGCCCACCCCAGCCAGAAGAGCCGGGGTGCAGCACTGTAGGAGGGGCCCTGTGTGCTCCAGTGAGACCTGGCCACCATGCAGCCCCCTCTACTGTCCCCACGGGGTTCTCCTGCCATAGCTTAGCCGGGAAGTGACTTCCCCGGGGGAACACTCAGTGCACAAATGACCAGAAGCACAGGGCCATCCTGTGCTCTGCCCATTGGCCCGTGGCCCTGGCCTCTCTGATCCTCCTCTCCTGCTCCAGAAACACTGCAGTTTGGCATCTTTCCTGGCGGCAGGCAGAGGCAAGAAGGGACAGCGTTGTGCTGCGCCTCCCTGTTCTCTGGTCAGGATGAGGAGAAGCTGCCCAGAGCTGTGTCCTCTGAGTTCCTCTTCCCCTGTCCCTAGACAGACTTGTCCCCAGGCCCCAAGTGGGGGTACTGGAGTGTGATCACTGGCCCTGGAGTGGGACAGCCACTTTGGCAGGTCTTCTCCATGCTGTCTGAGTGAACGGTGGGAGGAGGCCAGTAATGGCAGCTGCCTCGGCCATGTCTCCATGTAAACGTGAGTGTGCCTGTTGCCCAGACCCTGACACCCCATGACCCTTTCCTTTCTGCTCTCCCAGGATGGCGGGAAGCAGCTACTGGAGGGTGTGGCAGACAACAAGACCCTCTTGGAGTTCGACTTGCGCCTGTCGGATGTCACCCAAGAGAGTGAATACCTCATTGGCCAGGCCCTCCATGCCAACCGGGAAGCTGCCCACCAGCAGGCCTTGAGTCCCAGCCACTTCGTGTTGCCAGTCACTGCCAGTGGCCCTGGGAATTCTGTGGCATAAGGTGCGGTCGGGGCCGGGACAGGGACTGGACGGGGGTCATCACTCCAGCCCTGTCTTCCATGCCCTGCTCTGGCCACACACTCTGCTGCTAAGGGTCACACCAGTCCAGAGGGAGGGGAGGCGGGACCAAACACCCTCAGGGGGCGCAGTCAAGGGTTAAATGCATAAAGACGGAAGGCAAGAAAGGTACTGGTGGTGGAGGGAAGGTAACAAAGTGGAGACCCAGCTGCAGGGCCCAGAAAAGGGTCTCATTGGATGCCTGAAAATGATCAACTTCTTCCAGGAATTAGGCAGGCAGAGAGGACACCGAGGGACCATATATGCCAGACTCTCCCATGCACCCTGTCCACATAGGTGATTCTCCTCCACCTCCCCACCACCCCAGCTACTGATTGGATCCTCCACCTTCACACACGCACACACATGTGGATATCCACACAGGCACACACACTGTGGCTATAGCACAGTGATGCTTGGCTCTTCCTGCCACATTCACCCCTGAAGATGTCACTTCCCCCTTGCTCAACTCTGCTTTATGTGACCCAGTTCTTCAGTCCACACCACCTCCTAATGCCCACCTGCCATGTGGGAAGGGGACCCTGGGGGAGAGGGAGGCGGCCGTTGATGGTAGCAGCTGGGGAAACACAGTTGACACGCTTGCTGGAGAGGGGAAGAAGTATCACACCAGAGGGGACGTCGGTGAGTCATCGCAGCAACTTTATTATCCACCAGTTAGATTTGTACAATCTTTGCGCTTTGAAATCCACCACAGAAAGGCCACAGTGTGATGCACCCAAATGACAGAGACCTGTCTCCTCCCGGCCAGGCCCAGCCTGCCCCACAGCCCTTGTCCCTGGACACAGGGAGCCTTCCGGGTGCCCTGCATGAGTGCCTGTCACTCTGCGGCTGCCCAGCTTGGCCACACCCATAGGAATCACATCAGCCACAATGCCCAAGGGGCCTGATGGTTGGGCCCAGGTCCCCAAAGGCTGGGTCACAGATTTCGACCACAACCCAGGGGTGCCCACTCTCCAGGGACCCCTTCTGGCAAGCAGACACTGAGCAGAGCACCACAGGAGGTTGCGGGAGTGACGTACGTGTGCCTGTCCAGGTAGCCTCAAGTCCTTCCATGCCTGACACCCTCAAACGGCTCCAGAGTGCAAACATGTAGGTGTGAGGGTGTATGTGTGGCCACCACTGCTAGCAGAGATTCTAATTAGAGAAACAAGAACATTCGGTGTAAAGTTTAATTTTAGAGATTAATTAATTTTCTGGTTTTCATTTTCCCTGGCAATCAATAAAAGCTACCAAGAAAATAGACCAAAGACTCGCTTTCTCTCTAAGTCTGTGCATATGTGGGAGGCAAGGCTGACTGGCAGAGCACGCCTAGCAGAAATGGTCAATACAGGTGAAATAATAATGGGGACCCTCTGCACCTCCCCAGAGGGGTGTTCCCACCACCAGGCCCCAGGGAGCACAGACTCAGGGTCCCTATGGTTTTGGTAGCTGGCAGGCAGGTGGGCGGCTGTGCCTTTCTGCCCACACCACTCCCTCTCTGGCCTCTCCTTGCTCATCCATCTCTGTGTAGCTGCAAAGCCCAACCACCAATGATTCACGGTCCACTCTGTCCCCACAATCTGCCCTCCACCCGTGTTCCCCTGAGGAGGAGGGCAGGAGCTAGAGGAGATGTTGTATAGGTGGGGGCCATACCCCTAGACAAGCGCAGGCCATACCTTCAGGCAGGTGCAGGCCTGGCCAGGCAGGGGGCAGCCAGGAGAGAGGCCAATGGCAGAGCTCTGATGGCAACAGAGAAGCAAGAAGCATCCGGGGCACAGTGTCTGGGTGCCCAAGGTCATCCTCTCTAGGCTGAGATGTGAGTCTGGTGCCCAGGTGCTAAGTTTGCTGGGAAAGGAGCTGGGTAGCTGGGAAGGCAAGGGGCTGTACAAAGACATGCACACCAAGCACATCTGGGCAGGTGGTGGGGAGCACGAGGGAGAAACTTCAATATGGAGCTCTGGGAACAGGACAGGGCCAGCGCCCCCGGGGCAGTGGAAGGATGGCCTTCTGAAGACCCCGGGAAACACACAGCAGGGCTTCTGCTCAGGGCACAAGGGGAGATGGAGGAGTCTGGCAGAGAGGTGCAGAGAGGCATTTCTGCCTCTGATCCTGCCTCTGGAATCAATGTCCCTCCAGCTTGGTCCAGTGACCAGGTCCTCAGCCCACAGAGGCAAGGGTGAGGGACAAGACCAAATCACTCCTCCCTACAGGTCTGGGGAGGCAAGCCCCCCCTTCAGAGGTCCACTCTCTCCACCCCCACTGCCCTGTATCTGTCATCTAGGTGCATCTCATACATCACTAAGCCTGGCCAGCTTTAACACCAGCCTCCCCAGTGGTGCCAGCACCCGCCCTAGCCCAAGAGGAGGCTACGTTGTTTCCAGAAAGGACTGAGGCTCCCTCTCCCTGGGGACAGTGTGAGTGACATGGGTGCTGTGAGCACAGTCTCTCAGGACCTGCTCCTGGGGCCCAGGAACGTAAACAACAGTGCAGGAAGAGGCAGAAAAGAAGCCCCAAGCTCTGGGGCCAGTGCCAAGAAGAGGACAGCCACATTGCCACGGTGTGGGGACTGTGTTGGGGCTGCCACCTGGCCCTGGCCTCAGACCCACTGAATAAATAAGTTGGGTGGCAGCCAGACCTGCTGTTGCCCTCAGCAGAGGACCCAAGGGGCAGGAAAGTCCCTGGTGCCCTTCCTGTACCTCCACACCACCCTGCTGCCAGCCAGGGATGCACCCTCCAAAGGAGGGCAGCCCGGGTCCCCCCACCCCTCACACAGTTGCCAGTAACAGCAGAACCACTGGGAGCTGCACAGGAAATCCGGAGTGTGTGTGGAGAGGGGGAGTGGATGGAGAAGCCACTCTGCCTGCGACTGGGGTTCTGGAGAGCCACACCCTCTCATCCTCCATCTCTGTCCAGGGCAGGTGGCTCTCAGCCCCATGGGGTCTCCCCAGTGCCCTCTTGTTCCATCTCTTCCTTGCCCAGTCTGGGTGACCCCTGCGTTCCCCTGCTCCACGCGGGGTACAGAGTCGGCTAGGGGCGCGTGGACTCATCAGGGAGCCCGGGTCACAGTGAGGTCTCCACACAGGAGCCGTGGCGGTGCAGCGGCCGGTGGCTGTGGCCCAGGCACCCCTCCTGCCGGTGCACAATGAGGACAGGGAAGTAGAGGGCGTCGTGGTAGGGTGGCGGCGGCCCAGCCTCCTCCTCGTCGTCGTCCTCATCGTCCCCCATGCTGGCCTGGCTGGACAGACGCGTCTGCTCCGTGGGGCAGCTGGCCTCGTTGACGCTACCGCTCCGGCTGCGCCACAGGCAACTGCGCCGAGAGCCATAGAGGCGGCCTA